AGTTATTGGTGTAGAGGAGGCATAATAGCAAAAGCCCGGGGGTAAAACACTGCATGGGGAGAATTCGAGAAACTAGACATGAAATGTAAGAGCTCCAAGCTTTAGAATTTTGGTGACTCAACAAACACAAATGACTTTTCAGACCCTATCTGGACTATCCACTTCATTTCTTTGTTTTGAAAATGAGTGCAGTAGTCCCCACTTACCTGCAGGGGATACATTCCAAGACCCCTAGTGGAACCTGAAACCACTGATGGTACCAAACCCTAAATACACAATATTTTTTTCTATATATACATACTTATGATAAAGTTTAATTTATAAACTAGGCACAATAAGAGATTAGCAATAATAACTAATAATAAAATAGAATAATTATAATAATATACTGTACTAAAAGTTATAGAAATTGGTCTCCCTCTCTCAAAATATCTTATTGTACCATATTCACATTTTCACTTAAAGAAAGCACTTTACAGCTTCTCTTTGACATATCTGAATTGCCTGCATTACTACTGTTGTGCTTTGGGGACATTATTAAGTAATATAAGGTTATTTGAACACAAGCACTGTGGTATCATTACAGTCGATCCAATAACCGAGATGGCTACTAAGTGACTAATGGGCAGGGAGTGTGTACAGTGTGGAAATGCTTTCTGAAGGAGTGATTCATGGCCCAGGTGAGATGGAGCAAGACAGCATGAGATTTCATCACATTACTTAGAATGGCACGCAATTTAAAACTTCTGAATTGTTTATTTCTGCGATTTTCCATTTCCATTACAGTCAATCCAATAACCGAGATGGCTACTAAGTGACCAATGGGCAGGGAGTGTGTACAGTGTGGAAATGCTTTCTGAAGGAGTGATTCATGGCCCAGGTGAGATGGAGCAAGACAGCATGAGATTTCATCACATTACTTAGAATGGCGCGCAATTTGAAACTTCTGAATTGTTTATTTCTGCGATTTTCCATTTAATATTTTCAGGCCTAGGTTGACCATGGGTAACGGAAACAGGAGAAAGTGAAACTGTGGACAAGAGGGGACTACTGGATAACTTTGAAGAAAATGGGTAAGGGGGGTATGAAATGTGCCATCTGGATCCTTGGCAAACTCTATTTTATTTAATTCTTAGTCTTTACAGTTGGTCTCACTTCTATTTTGATTTATTTCATAAACATTTCAAAACTAAAGCGGCCCGTAAGTCATGCAGCCCAGCAAGATTCTACTTTCTTCTTCTGAATGGGATTGCTGCAAGAGTTGAAACAAAGGCAAAACTTTCTTGGACACCTCAAGATGTAAAATGTCCTGACTTCTCTGACACCAGCTGCATGTTTTACTCCCTTTGACTGTGAGTCTCCATCACCAGACTCCATGAAAAGAAATTGAGAGGCCTTGTGGGTACAGGTCGAACTGCATAGTCAGACAATGAACAAAGATGTTCTTTAGATTCTTCAGTTACTGAAATTGAATAACTCTTATTTTCTTTTTTTTTTTTTCTGAATAACTCTTATTTTCTTGAAAGTAGATGAAAGCAGAGCAGGTTCCTCTAGTGTTTACAACATTGAAATAAATGCTTGAACATTGTATTTCTGTTTTTCTTTGCTTCAGAAATATTTCGTTTCTTAGATATCATAATATCTATGGACATAAACAGTGAATATTCTTTGAATGAAAGGATGAATTGTTCTTTCTATTTTCAAATCAAACTTTATCAAAAGTGGGCACTCTATTTAAGAATGACTTTTAAGTAATTTAGTTAGGTCAGTTTTCTCCTGCTTTTTAGTTTTGTCTCCTTTGGGGTCAACCTGGCCAACGGGGAAGGCAGTAAGGAGAGATCTTCATACTGGCCTAGCCCCAAGTCTAGTTGCTGAGAGTAGGTCAGAACAGAGGTGGTGGGAAAGGCATTCAGGAGTGAATGTGACTCCCAGACTTGCTAAGAGAATCGGTCAGTGACTGCGAATCCTGTAAGGAACAGATAATGAAAGTGGAGTCCAATCAAGTGGCCAGACCTAGGCACTGGGTTCCAGAGACAAGAAAGCAGAAAGCAGATAGACAGAAATGGATGTCATGCCTGGCCCCTGAGCCCAGGGTGAGCAAAGCCTGAGTGGCTTGTTTAGGTTTTAACCCGGGTAAAGTTAGACAAGATTGTTTATTTATGGCTGTTCTTTACAAATCTGTATGCACTCTGTATAGCCAGCATTCTCCACCGCCACATTCTAAGGGAGCCACTGTAACTGTTGATAAGAACAGATGGAAAGAGACCTGCATGTCAGTCCTCAATGGCCCCTCAGCCATTGAACGACTTATATAAATATTCATGGTGGCAAGAAGAAACTCTTTTCTAATTTTTGACATAAAGCTAGTCTCACAGTGTGACTTAGGAGTTTAATTTTTAAGCATAGTTCTTTGCTGACGGGAATAATGTTTTCCTTGAAATCATGAGTTTGGCATAAGAAATAAACTGCCAAAGAAAGTTGAAAATAAAGTGTATTGTTCCATTCAGTGAGTCACAGTTACAGGCAAAGCCTTCAGAGTTGCCAAACCTTTGGACTTCCGCTCTGTAGACATACTGTGAGTGAGTGGGAAAACCCACAGCTGGAATTCGCCCCAGAAGACAAGATAACTAAGCTAACCTCTGAACTGAAGAGTGAGCAGCCTTGGCAGCCATGTGGTGACAGGTGACATTCCATTCTCTTCCACATCCAGGGGAGCACCAATACCCAAGTGTTATCTGTCAAGAAGAAGCAAGACGGAAACTGCTCTTGAACAGAAAAGGTAACTTCTAGAAGCAAAATATTCAAAATAGGGGTGGAGGGAAGAGTATTGTCACACTATAATAATCTGGCTTTTATTTACTTTTCTTGACTCCATTCATTTAGTCATTTATTCATTCAACGAATCGTTTTTGAGAGTTTACTAAGCTAAGTACTGAAAAGATGGTGATCAAAACAGATAAGGCCCCTGCTCTCTTATGCTCTTCA